AAAAACAAAACAAGAAGAAAGAAAAACAATGGAAATGTTTAAAAATAGAATGTATAAAATGTATAAATAACTTTCTTGAAATGACGGATGCCATTCGATTAACGAAAACTTCCGTTACATTACTTGTACACTATTTCCAAGGGTTAATTTTGTTCCACTGCCAATAGGCAAGAGGAAAATACATGTGGTATATCATAAGCCGTCATAGAGGATGAAGCTTCTTTTGCATGGGGACACTAAATCTGAACAATGAGGGTGGTCCTTGAACTATTGGAAATGCAGCTAGCAGGGAGGTAATGGCTTTGTAGGCCCCAGGTGTGTCATTCCTGGGTACCACTATTCAAAGGCTAAGTAGACTATGCTTCTCTTCTGGGATCTAGAACAAGGGGAGCAGTGGAAATTCACTCTGATTCTCTCTCTCTCTCTCTTTTTTATAGAGAGATGTTTGCTATAGGGTGTGTGTACTTGCCGGTGACAGAGAGAGACGGAGACAGAAAGAGACAGAAAACAAGAAATCACTTCTGAGGGGATGGACACACTGCAATCCCTTCTCCTCCATTCTCCTCTTGGTATCTTGGGCACATATGCACACATGCCCAAAGTGAGTTTAAGCCACCAGGTCTGGGACTCAAACCATGGTCAACTACGTGGGAGTCAAGTGACATAACCATTATGCTGTCTACTGGTTCCAACTCTCTGACGTTCTCTCTCTTTCTTGAACAGGGATTTTCAAACTTGGCAACATGTTAGAATCTACTGGGGGAATGCTGAAAAAGCTCAAAGTTTAGATCCCACACAAGCCAATTAAGTTAGAATTTCAGGGGGTTGTCTCAGGCACTGGTATTCTATAAAGTGCCCTAGGTTACTCCAATGTGTAGCCAAGGTGGAGCACTCCAGCAAAACATAAGTAATTATTTTAAGACCAAATTTAAATCAGTCTGTTACTTTGTTTCAGAGGCTGTCAGCATGTCATTGTTTGCATGTATCACCATAATTTAGCTCATTTATAGATGACTACCTATGTTTCCTTTCATTGGGACAGAGTTAGTACAAAAAAAAAAAGTAGGTTAAATACAATGGAATCTCAAATCAGAAAGACATTCATGGTAAAGGAGAAATCTGAAGAACGTCTGTAGTCTAGCTAATAATATGTTATCGTACCAATATTAATTTCTTAGTGCTGATACATGTAACACGGTTCCTAAGATGTTGATATTGGGGAAAGCTGAGTGACGGATGTAAGGCTGTCAGTATTGTCTCTGCAACTGCTCTGTATCTATTTCAAAGTAGAAAGTTTAAAAAAAGAGAGAGCGAAGGCATGGGCCAGCCCTGCAGACTAGTGGTTAAGAGAGTTGGATCCAACATGGCTGACCAGGGTCTGAATCCAGGCCTTGGCAGCTTGAAAAGCATGCCATGTATGTGTGTGTGTGTGTGCGTGCGTGTGCACGCACGCGTGCGCACCCCAAATCCCAACAGGATGGGAAAATGGGGAAGGGACTGCAGAGTGACCACACTCCATTGAGGGTGTGTTCTCTCCCTCTTTCTCTGTCTCTCTTTGGTGAGCATATGTACCCTCTGGCGATTTAAATACATACATACATACATACATACATACATACAGGGCCAACAGGAGGAGAGGAAGTTAAAGTGCTAGATCCCACATGGGCAACTGTGTGGTTCAAGTCCCAGACCCAGAGGCTTGAAAAACACACCAGATGTGTGTGCATGTGTGTCCAAAATCAAAATCCCAAGAGGATAATGGAGGAGAAAAGACTGCAATGTGGCCATCCTCCCTTGGTGGGGGGGCGGGGGTGATTTCTCACTTTCTATCTCTGTCTCTCTGTAGCAAGTGCATGTGCCCAAAATTTAAAAAAAATAAAACAAACAAACAAACAAACAAAAAACAAGAAGAAAAACACAGATAAGGCAGAGCTAGTAATAATGCTGCAGAATTACTGATCACTAATAATATTAATATTCTTGGGAATAAAGTGTTGCATTGTGGACTTAGATACTTTATTAATGACCACAATATGTGAGGCAAGAAAAAGCTGAGAGAAACTTCCAATTTCCTGCCTATAGTCTGCCTTATATATCTTTGTTCTAGTCCCACTGAGATCCCAAAATGTCAACTGCAGTTAATTTTGAAACAATCACTGACAGCCTATAACCTAAGAGTCATATATTCTAGGAAGGATAATATTGCTGGTAATGATACCTTGCACTCAGGCAGTACTTCGCAGTTGATAAGCTCTTCCATGTGTTAATCTTGTTTAATTTATATTTGGAAATAAGCAAATACATGGTGTACACTATAAGCTGTCATAAAGGATGAGGCTTTTATTACCTTTTATTAAAAAACACAGAGTGTAGCACGTGCATCAATCACCCGTACCCTCCCAGTACACACGCACAACTGGAAAGCACAGTTATTAAAGAATCTCGCTTCCGTGGCACCACAGGGCGGGCTGGGGACATACTCTAAAACTAGCATTTCCTAACACAAAAATCACGGATCCACACCAGGTCATGCTCACAGGCACTGTATTGCGAGGACAGTGTTCCTCCTTCCTGGTAGGAAAAAGAGAAACACTCAGATTATCAGAGGCCACAGTCACGTCTGTCTGCCCAGGTGTTGTCAGGCCAGAATGGCTGTCCTGGAGTCATGGCCACCCCCTACTTGGCTTTGGTTCCATGTCCTTGTGCTCGTCCCTGGGAGGTGCTGGTTCTCGATTCCCTCTGGGCCCCTGACGAATGCCCTCTCCCTTCTCTGCGTCAGCACACTGGCCTCTTCTCTTTCAGGACTCAGCGGGCTCCTGCTCTTTCCCACTTGAACTCCCCGCTGGCTCCCTGTAACTCCTAAAACCGCCTCCAGGGACAGTAGTGACAGTGGCATACTTGCTCCAGACCATGCCAGAGGATGGCTCAGTAACCCCTTCACTATCATCCCCGAGAGGGCCTGCACACTCCAGTGCCATGATGAGATGAGTGAGATGCTCTCTCAAGTCTGGCTTCTAAACACACGCGCGCACACACACACACACACACACGCACATGCACACTCTCCCAGCACAGAGAACTAGGATTGTCCAGACCCAGAGTACACCGGCGAGCGGGACAAGGCAGCTGGACCTCAGGGGTGCATCTCCTCACTGAGATGTGGCTTTCCTGCCCTCGTCTCTCCAGGGAGAAGACTGACTTTGGACCTTCCATTCAATTCTTCGTGGCCTGCACTGTTAGAGCAGACATCCTTCTTCCTCTCTGGCCCAGCATAACCTGCTCATTCTTCGATTCTTGTTTGTGCAGAAGGGAAGTCTAATTGGGAGTCGCTGAGAGCTCAAAGGATTCTGCAGTAGAGTAAACCTACTTGGGAAGTTCGAACAATGGTTCATTGAAACATATGGTTTCCTTCTAATTAGAAGAAAAAGGATGAAGAGCAATTTGTGGGGGGGGGCAGTTACAATGATTCTCAGGAGAGAGAATAGAAAACATTCACATTTGGAAAATAACTGCTCTAGTGTGTATTCATTTAAAAGCATTCTTTTTTTAAAAAAATCATTATACCGTCTCAGGGCCAGAAGGTAGTGTGGTGGTTAAGGCATTGGACTCCCACGTGGCCAACCGTGGTTGGAGTCCTGGACCTGGCAGCTTGCATTCTTACTTTCTGTCTCTCTGTTTTTCTCTGGTGAGCACAAATTCCTTGTAGCACTTTAATAATAATAATAATAAAATTAAATAATTCTTTAAAAGACAATCCCTACACAGTCTCCTTTCTCTGCAGGTCTCAGCTTTTCATGGCTGTTCTGGCTTTGCCCTTCCAGCAGACACAGTACTTCCTCTTAGCCAGGTGGTCTGTGGCTGCCTGCCTTTTTGAAAGTTCCAGGCCCAGGGGCTGGCCTTGCTCCTTGGCTTCCTCCAGGAGGACGTAGCTGTGCTCCTGCTGCCTGCTTCCCGAACACACCACTGCCCAAGATGTCTATGTCACTAATTGACAGGGGACAGGGTGACCATATGTTCCAGTGTGCCCAAGACAGTCCTAATTTATATCCCCGTGCATTCACAGTGCCCTGATTTGGATAATCAATCACACGGCCACCCTGCCCATTCGCAGCTCCCTAAGGCTAAGTGTACCCATGTGGTGGATCTATCTGGTCACGTCTCTTAGTGACCAGTACGGACGCTGCCCGTTCTGGTTAGAGCCGTCTTCCTTCGACAGCACCATCTGACTCCTGGGCATGGGTTCCCCTATGTTCTGTTAGTATTTCGGGAAATCGTCTGGGTAATTCTAGAGATTTGGAGGTGTGTGTGTGTGTGTGAGAACTGTGAAACATTTGCTGAGAATAGCTTACTCTGATCTAGGAATCTGTAAGATAGTCACTGCACTCTGGTAACAGCACGCTAAGAAGAAAATTGAAATTGTAGTGAAGATATCCCTTACTTTTATTGCAAAGCACCATTATATAGAGACAATGGAAAGGCCGGAAAGCAAGCATTCCTTGCATTAGCTTAGTGATCTGAATTTTTGATTTTTAAATTCTATTTCAGTGTAGACAGTGAAACTGCACATATTTTTGTATTTGAATTTATCATCAAATTCACATCCTTGTTGTTATTGTTACTCCAACATTGGAGCAAAGTGTTTAATTTTCAGAAGTTTTCATTTAACTTTAATAGAAAACAAACCTATACAGACCTACTTTAAAAAACAAACAAACAAACAAAAAAAACTAAACCTAAACATTTTGGCCTGAATATAACCTGCTTGATTATAAGAACTAGTTTCCCTAATAATTTCGTAATATCAGCACCACCCTAATTACATCCTTCGGCTGTTCCAAGCATGATCACAGGGCCTTTGAAATTCAGAAGATGAACTTGGATTGACCCCAGACCACAGGACCCAAGTGGCCCGCAGCTGGTCTCACTGCTGACAGCCGGACAGCGCAATTTCAGGTTCTGCACTTGCCCTGGGGGCTCGGAGGGCTGTGGGCCGCACTTACGTCTCATCTGTGAATGCTATTCCGAAGTACTCCTTTTCTTTCAGATTGAAGTGCGATGCCACGAGGTCAAGAAGCTCCTTGGCCAGAAGCTTGGGCTGGGGGAGGACACAACGGAAGAAGAGTTAAGTGAGGAGCGATATCTACTAAGTCATGCAATGTCAGGTTTCTATCTTTTTTTTTTCCCAACAGAATGCCTCAAAGTTCAAGCACATTATCAATGCAAATGATTTTTATAAAACCCAAAGAGGGAGACAATGAGGTCACCACAGCAAACAGCCAGTTGAGGGTCAGCACAAACTGAGACCTTCTGTCTTACTTGCTAGTGGTTTTTCTATCCACATGTGGTACTCTTGGGTAGGACTGTCAAACCCAATGGCTTTCCTTCCCTGCATTTTGTCTGTTCATTTTTTTAAGTTTGCTTATTTATCCCACAGAGAGAAAGACATCAAAACCACAACACGGTACTCATACCATGATCCACCCCCAGCCTCAGCCGGCCTGGATCCGGGGCAGGAGTGCACACGCACAGCGGGCACAACGAATCTGGGACTTTTTTGTGTGGGTCCAGGATCACAGAGCACTGCCTTACTGCTGGGCCATGGGCTGGCCCTCCTTCCCTGCATTTTATGTTGAACAGACAGGGAGGATATCTTATTTATAAAAATTAATATGTTTATAAATGCTTATATAGTATGTGCTATGTGGCAGGCATTGGTTTAAGCATTTTACCAATTCCAGTATCTTTAATCCTCATCACAACCCTATAAGGTTGTCCTATTATTAACTTTAATGTACAGGGAGGGCAGGGGCACCCCGAGACCAAGCACGTGTTGGGACTGGGACTTGAACTCTGGTCATTTGGCTCCTGAGACTCTGACCCTGACTGTTCTCTATGCTCCCATAATTTTAAATGTAAACAATAAAAGTATCCAACTACAACAATTGTTAAAATTAAGGTCAAAGAGCCTTGAGCATAGTATTTTAAAATAAAGTAAAAATTCACCCTCCATTTTTCTTTTCAAAGAAGAACAGGCTTTACATGACATCTGTCTTGTTATAAACTCTTTTTTAAAAATCACTGCCAATTTAAAGAAATTCTTCAGAGATTTAGGCATACAATCTAGTGAATGTTTATAAGCATTGTCAATACATTATTCACCTCGATCCATCACTGTTGAGATGGTCACAGGACACTAAGCACCGAGCTGGGTGGTGGTGGTGGTGGTGGGGTGATGGGAAGGGATATGCTGTCTGATGGGGATACGGGACTGAAAGAGAATATTTCTCAGTCAGCGTCCAGGTCATGCATAGGAAGACACTGCCTTTGCTGGAGGACTGAAGTTCCATTCCAAGCACACTACCCGGACATCTCTAAGCTTCGAGCAAAAATAAAGATTCCAGAAGAGAAAAGTGTGTGCGCATGAACAGGTATGCATTTGTGAATGCGATTTTTCAGTTTCCCTGACTGTATTATTTCTACTCTGGTGGTTAGGCACTTCTCTCTGAGGAGGATAGATTGGCTGTAAATCAAGAGTTGCATGACAGTTTGGTTTCTTATTTCACTGTTTGGGTGCTCATACGGGCTCAGCTGTTCGCAGCTCTCTAAAATTCCTGTGGAAACCCTAACTCCCTATGATATTAGGAAATGAGGCCTTCGGGTGTGGGGGGGGTTGGTTTAGATGAGGTCACAAGGTATGGCCTCCACAGTGAGATTAGTGCCCTTGTAAGAAGGAAACATCAGAGAGCTTGCGGCTTCCTTTCCACCATGTGGACAACAAGAAGGTGGCCATTTGCAAACCAGGAAGAGAGCTCTCACCAGGAACTGGCCATGCTGGCACCTTGACCTTAGACTTCCAATCTCCAGAACTGTGAGAGAATGCATTTCTGGGGGTCGGCAGGTGGCATCATGGCTATGTTGCTGGATTGCCACATAGTAGACTGTGGTTCAAGTCCTGGATCTGGTGACTTAAAACTCACACTGGGTACATGTGCGTGCATGCCCAAAATCCCAAGAGGAGAATAGAGGAGAAGGGACTGCAGCATGGCCATCCCCTCAGGGAGTGATTTCTCACTTTCTGTCTCTGTCTCTCTGGTAAAACGCATGCACCCCATAATAAAAGTCTCTCAAATAAAAAAAGTACATTTCTGTTGTTTAAACCACCTAGTCTATAGTATTTTGTTAAGGCAGCCCAACCAGGGTAAGACAGGTGCATTTTCTTTAATTCAACAGCTGTTTCTTTGTTGAATGCCTACTATGTGCAAGGCTCTAGTTAATAGAGCAGAAGGTACAAAAATGAGCAAGACACAGCACCTCCCTACTGATAAAGAGTGACCTCAGACTTTCATCAGGCCACAGAGCAAGAGCGAGTGCTCAGTCTACAAAACACAAGCAGACGATCTACCCTTTGCTGCCTCAGCCCTGGGCTCAAGGGTGGCAACCTCCATGCCTCAATAGTCATCAGATCCCCAGTGAAAACCTCCTAAACTGACCAGAACGGGTGTGGGTTTGAAGCTGTGGTGGAGTTTCCTCCCCAGACGACAGAAATCAGCAGGAGAATCCATCTCGATAAATGAATACCATTTACTCTTCCACACTTCCATTCACACTAAATTTTGAAAAAGCGAAAAGGCAATCTCTGTAACCAACAGGGAATTCGAGATTTTATGTCACACCCTCCTTCATTAATAGTAGAAGTTCCACCCTGCAGTGGGGAAAGCGTGGTATGTCTCAGAATGTCACTGCTCAATTACAGAGTAGGATGCAAGGTGAGGGAGGTTCATGAAGCTCCACTTAAATGCTCTGCTTGCTGTGCGCTCCTGCGGGCTCTGTTCCTAGCACCCGCACTCCGATGGGGTATTCAGGCGCTCAGTTATAAAGTGTTTCACATATAGGTTGTGACTGTGAGGTAGTGTGATTGATTTTTAAATTGAAATATACAATAATTTATCTGTCCACATCATTGCTATCCCTTTCAAAGAAGTCACAGTATCTCTATGATGCATGCTATTTCTTAAACCATTTTTGATCATCTTTTGGGTTTGCCCTTAAAGCTCATGTCAGATTTATAATAGCATCGTCCCTGGAGATAAACTTTGATCTTAGAATGGATTTCAACTTTTTTTAATGTCCCAAATCACTTTAAATCAAGTCTCGTGAATTGGGATAGAGAAGGAGGATTGGTGATCATGGTGAGTCAACCTGGTTTTATAAAATGAGGTGAGAGGATAAAGCAATTATTAAAAGTTCTTAAGGGTTCTGGTGAGAGATTCAGCCCAAACTTGGAAATGACAGAAAAATGTCTTTCTCTTTGAGAGTTAAACTTTAAAGCTAACATCTTGGTGGACTTGATTAGGGACACAAAACTTTACCCAGGAAGAGAGAGAATTACTCTTAAGGCTGGTATAATGTATCTATAACACGATTCAATGTATTTGTTGTTCCATAGACTGGGTGGGAGTGAGTGGAAGGTGGTGTGTGGGAGGGGCTTGAAGAGGTAGCCTGGAGAAGGAAGATGAACCCAGGAAACAAACGTGATCTTAGCCAATAGGCGTGGAGTACTGGGCTCCTTGCCCAATGGTACAACTTTTTAATGGCTGTAAGGGAGGCATGGGTCTTTTGTGACTGATTGTATTACATTTAACCTTCTCCAATGTCGTGCCTTCTAGGGACTCACTGAGACATTCCATGTCCTGGATATGAGGCCGAGCATCCCTGAGTATGATCTCATCATCATTTTAAACAGAGATGGTTGCTCATTTCCTGATAAAGAGTCTGAGACTTGGACATGTCGGGCAGGCTGTGCTTGGTCTCACACCCAAACTGGGGTGCAAAACAAGGTCTGGATATGCTCAATGGAATATTATTTTGCTTCAAAAAGGAATGACGTTCTGACTCATGTGATATCATGCTGCAACAAGGATAAACCCTGAAGACATTATGCTAAGCTAGAAGCCAGACCCAAGAAGCACACATTTCATTTACATGACATAACTAGAATAGGCAAATTCACAGAGACAGTAGACAGAGATTACCAGGGGCTGGGAGTGTGTGTGTGTGTGTGTGTGTGTGTGTGTGTGGCAATTACTGCATTATAGCTACAGAATTTGGGATGACGAAAGTTTTGGAAATAGGGTGATTGTTACACGACACTGTGACTTAATGTATTGTGCTTTAGAACACATTGTGTATTTTCTTTCTTTTTAAAAATTTTTCTTTAAGTTTTTAGTTTGCTATAGGGTGTGTGCACTCACCATAGAGAAACAGAGAGAAAGAGAGAGACAGTGAGAAAGCATCCCACATTATAACCCCTTCACCTCCAGTCTCCTTTTAGGATTTTTGCATGCACATACCCGGCATGTTTTTCAAGCCACTGGGTCTTGGATGGCCATGTAGGATCCAGCCACTTTAACCACCACACCACCTGGCTGGCCCCTCATTGTGTTTCTGTGTGTGTGTGTATGTATGGAGAGAGAGAGAGTTTTGCATTTTTGCTGCAGGGTGCATGCACTTGTTGGAGAGACAGAAAGACACAGAGAAACAGACAGTGAGAAATCACCCCCATGGGGGATGGCCATGCTGAAATCCCTTCTCCATTCTCCTCTCGGGATCTTGGGCACACTTGCACACATGCCCGGTGTGAGTTTTAAGCCACCAGGTCCGGACTCTAAACACGGCTGACTACGTGGGAGTCCAATGACATAACTATTATGCCATCTGCTGATCCCTCCCCATTTTGTATTTAATGCCACTGATGTGAACACACGAAAATGGTTAAAGTGGTAAATTTTATGCTATAGTTTACCCTAGTTAAGGGGGCAATAAACAAGAAAGAAAAAAGGAAAAATCTCCTGAGGTCTGGTTGGTCTCAAAGCCCATGTGGGTAACCCTTCTCTGCCATCCTGCCTCTGCTGACTCTGCTTCCTGGGGGAAAGTTCAAGGACCATGAGCCTTGAGGACTTGTCTGGGTGAGGGCCGTTTCAATCACTTTATACGAGTACACCGACATTATGGATTATACATCAGTACTTACAACTTGATTAGTGTGATTTTTTAAGGATGAAAACATCAGGGTTCTGGGCCTACATAACTAAAGAG